CTTTCCCTATCTAGTATCTCCCGCCTTCCTCCTTCTTTCCCAATCTCCTGTCATCAATCTTGCATCTTTCTTAATGGAGGTGCAGTGCAGCCACCGAACCTTCAGCCTCACCCCTCTGGGTTTTTCCCTTGGTAGGAAAGAAGTTGCCTTCTCTTTTGGATGTCTGGAAGTAAGCATGGGAGATGCTTCTTTATCTCTGTTCTTGTGCTCTGAAATATAGCAATTCACACCAGAGAGAAGTGTGGGGAAGGCTCAGACCCTGTAGGAGCTGGGTTGAGATACGTCTAGAGCACATGGGTGATATGGGTTTAACTGCCAAGCTCTGGCAAGCCTCAGTAGGCAGTTTCAGGAGTCATTATCTTGGTTAAGCCAAGTAAAGGAGTACCCAAAGGCACCCTAAAACCAACCTGAAACAACTTTTCAAAATTCAAGGTTGTTGGGTTTTTTTAGTGATTAGGTTTTATTTTTTTTACACAGGGTGGGAATTATCTTCCTCAGCCATCTTCTGAGAAACAGTTGAACTCTTCCAAAATAGCTAAAATTTTCCAAAAATGCTGCACTCATTACAGACATCTGGGAAAACTTCCGTATACTAACTTGGCAAAGACACAGCAAAGAGAAAGAAGTCATAGAAGGGAAGTTATTGAGCAGTTTTTAATTTTAGCTTTTGCTGCGTATGCAGAGCTGTCTCAGTGTTGGCCTTTCGGAGCAGAGTGCTCTGACCTGGAGTATATGTCAGTACTGGAGAAGAACTATTGAACCACAAATCCAAAACAAATCTATCCGAAGTCTGGTATTTGCCTTGGCCTTCAAGGATTAGATGAGTATGTGGTGTTCGTAGCACAAGCTATGGCCTTAAACATTTAGTTCATCGAGATGGGAGCCTGCAATCAGGATGTGTACACCTGCTCTTTGTAAAGTGAGGCCTCTGTGCATTTCTGATCATCTGGGTTTTTATTTCACATAAGCAATACATAGTTCATGTAGCATGCCTGTATGGAAAAATGGGGCAGGGGGAAACACAAGTTGCTAAGGAATTTACATGGAAACTACTAGAAACCAAACATGCTTTCACTTGTATTTTTCTTTTTTTAAGTATAATTGAAAAAGGTAAAGAAATGAGTAAAAGCACACTCTGCTGTGACTGGAGATTTATTATGTTGAAGATGGTTAGTTAAACCAACTGAGTGATTTAGTACATTTTTGCCAGTTGTATTGGACTGCTCTGAAACTAGGCAGTATTGATGGCCTCTGTCATGACTTACTCTAATGACTTTTCTCTTCTAGACCATGCGCAGGTCCGAAGTGGTAGGAATTGTTTTAGGTTGGGTCTGTCTCTGTGTAGCAGCTCTCTTGAGAGCTATTGAATCCACTTTTCTAGGGAAGGTAGCCTGTCATGAATACAGGTGTTTTACCAGCCTGAATCTGAAAGAATGAAGAGCATTACTGGACATCTCAATCATAAAGTGCTGCTGTTGATAATTTTTATGATTTTTGTCACTTTCCCATTGTTCTGTCATTCTTATTCTTGTATGCTTTATCTTTTTTGATTGGGTAGGCTTTTTTGTTGGTTTATTTTGTTTTGCTAGGGAGCTCTGTAAAGCTACCATCTCATGAACATTTTGTTACTCACATTGCATTCTTGTACTGTACCAGAGTTGATGACCATGTTCCATCGGTGGAAGAGATGAGTGAAAGCCGCTGGCTGTATTTCAGGTGACACTGTGCTTTCCTTTATACCAAATTAACCTGGTGCTTGGCTTTCTTCATCTTTATAACACTAAGCGTGTGCTCTTTTTCTATACTATGGCATGCTGCTGCTGCTTCTCCTTCTCTGCAGAGTGCCATAGGCGTTCCTCAGTTCTGAGTCTGTTCTCTTCTTTTGAGCTGGGAGAGTGTGGATCACTCATCATGTCTTTAGCTTAAAAAAAACCAACAAAACACACAAAACACCACATCCTTTAACTCTTGTGTATGGGTAATTAATGAAGAAAAATTAGTGTCTCTGGCCTGGGAAGACTTGAAAGCTGATAAATCATGGATGCGATCCTATGATCCTTAATCACACAGGTATTCTTAAGTATTCCTTGGGGTTATTTCATACAACTGTTCAGGTTGACAAGGTGACCCGCTTAGTGGATGAGGGGAAGGCTGTGGATGTTGTCTACTTGGACTTTAGTAAGGCCTTTGACACTGTCTTCCACAGCATTCTCCTGGAGAAGCTGGCTGCACACGGCTTGGATGGGTGC